GCTGTCAGAGGAGAACTGGTATCCACCAAGGATCCCATAGGTGGGTTCAGGGAAGCAGAAGCACCTTCCCCATATTCCCCACTCCCGAAGATGGTCCCCTTCCTCAGCGACCAGAGTAGGATCCCCCTGCCTGAGCCAGCAGGACGTGGAGCAGACCAAGCAGAAGGGCTGCTGTTTGTTTTCCCTGAAGCAAAGGAAGTCGGATCAGAGCAGGAATGCAGTCAGGCTGCAGCTCACCAACCCCATCCTTCCAGCTCATCCCATCCCTGCTATGAGGCAAAGGCTCCAATCCTGCAGCCCCTTCACACACAGAACACAAGCTCAGCTGGGATCTGGAGGAAGCCTGAAACCCCAGCAGCAAGCACAGCTCACAGATACATGAGTTTTGTAACCATGCATTTACAGTCCTGCCAGTTCCCACCTTCTGCAGAAGTATTTTGGTTGAACCATCACCACCCTGCCCAACAACCAGAGCTCCCCAAGCAGGAGCTGACCAGAAAATGAGCTGCAGAGCAGCTCAGATGAAATGCATCATCTCCTTTTGCTGCACAGCTCCTCCAGTGCCCCAGGAACCAGAGTCAGCAATCCCCTGCTCCAGGTCCTCACCCAACACAGCTCAGCTCTGTGTTTCCAGGCCTTGGGCAGCTTCAGTCCCATGGCCAGAAACTCAATAAGGCAGAAAACACACTGCACACACACACACACACACACACACACCCCCTTTGGTTAACACTCACAACACAAAGCCTCCACCTACTACAGCAATGAGGATGTGCAGCTAATTAACTTTCTAGGAGTTGCAGATGAACAGGAAAAAGCACATTAAGAATGGGAACTCATGATGGGCACGTCTCAGGGGAATTAACAAATTGCATCAGAGGAATTTTTATTCTGTTTATAAATTGATGCTGGTGATGAGCCCCAGCACACCCCTACCACCCCATGGAATAACAAAGCCATCAGCTCCAGCCCCACGCAGATCCCACAGGAGAACTGCACTGTTGCTGCCTTAAATGTGGGGCTGGCAGGGATTTGGGAAGCAATGCATACTTCTTCCAGGCACATCCTGAGCCAAACTGCAGATACCATCATTACTACGTGGGACAATGTCCCTGGGATGTCTGTTTACTGAATTCTCCAGTCCTTCTCAAGAGCGCTCCCAAAAATAGCCTAAAATTCACCATGCAAAGTACTCGATCCCAGAACAGACTCTAAAAAAAGCTCACATGCATCATTGGTTTTGCTCTGCTCACCCAGGCCAGCACACACCAAGACCCCACTGCAGTGCTCACAAACACGTGGATGAGGGGCAGGAGCACAGCACTGCTCTGCTACGAGGGGAGTTAATGACATCTGGCCCTTGCTACACCATGCAAATACTCACTCCTTCCTCACTGACCCCAGGCCAAGCTCCTCAGACTCCCACCTGCCCATCAAACCATCACACAGCTGCAAACAGCAGTGTGAGAAGCCCCAGGTCAGGTAAGAGACATCATCCAGGTGCTGAGCACAATTCTGCCATGCAGTTTCCTCTCTCAGAGCACCTGCCAACCCAAGAGAAAGGCTTTTAAAAGGCACTTTAGATACTATTTGCTGTAAATCTAAGGAATGCTCCACCCATCACATGCAGCTTTATTGATTTACTCTGCAGTCAGAAAAAACAAACCCTGTATCTAGCTGGCAAGAAAATAAAAAATTCGATCAAGGAGATATTTCCAGGTTGGAATTACAGCCTCTCTCCACTCATCCTTTACCCAAACACTGCTCCAGCTACGGCTGGGGACCCACGAGCTGCTGCCCACCTCACATCCCCTTCACACAGCCAGACCCCAGCATAGCGCAGGAGCCCGCCCGACATTTCCAGCCCCACAAGCCTTGAGGTAAAGGAGACGAAGGTCATTAAGCATCATTATCCTATTTAGCATGATGACCCCAAAGCAGAGAGGATGTCATGCAGCCGGGCAGCGGAAGGAACGATGTGCTTAATGGGAAGGGCGGACGCAGCGGCACATCGGGGTGACGCAGCCCATGAGGGTCTGAGCCCTGCACTGATTTATCTTCACATACATTTTCTCTCCCTTCCCTGACTTGTACCGTTTTCCCTGTTCCACCAGCACCAAGTTTCGCTCCCTCAAAGGAGCCTTTAAAGGGCAGTGATCCAGAAAAGGAAGAAGCAGAGCTCCTCCAAGCCACAGCCCTAACGCAGGTTGTGCTCCAAATACACCCACCTGCACACAAGAGCAGTAGTAGGCACTGCCTGCAGCCCCTGCCTGAGGCTTGCTGACCTGGCTGTAAGAGGCTGTTCAGGGTCCATCCAGCAGCTTGAAGATGAAAGCAAAACGCATGCATGCATGCAAAGATCTGGGAGCAAAAGCAGCCAGGGAGTGTTTGAAGATCAGGGGCAGAGCTGGCTGCGTTTTTCAGACTCCTGTAGAAATCCTTTCGTAAGACTAAGGGCAGAGCAAGAACCCAAAGGTGGAAGCACAACACATCACACACACCAGAAGGCAGCAAAGTCAGCAGAGCTGCAAGACAGATTTGAAGGATGAGAATAATATTCCTTAATTTCAGTGTTCTTATGTGCTACCGTAGACCAAAGGCAGCCACTCAGCCTTGGGGACCCTTTGAGCAGAGTGCTGTGCCAACACACAGCTATTATTAAGCCAGTCCTCCTTCAAAGGCTCTGCAGAAACAACATTCCATTCCCACAGGATTGTTACCCTCAGCCCCAGTGCTTTCTGCACAGAGGGAAAAACTCCTCACCCCCACCCCCTGCCCCTCAAAACATCACCAAGTGGGAATAATGTTAGAATTCAGGACAGGAAGGATGAAGCTGCTGCAGCTTCACCAGGGCCAGAGGAAGAAAGAAGCAGGCAGGTCACTTAGTAAGGGTAAGGTATTCCCTGAAGGTACAACAACACCCTGTTGCAGAATCAGCTCTGCTGAATACGACGTGGAAGGAGGTGGTTAGTAGCATAAAGGAGATGCCCACTGTTCGGGGTTCTGAGGTCTGTTCTGCAAAGGTCACACGCTCCCCAAGCACACCCAAACACCGTGTTACACCTTGCTGTCCTCTGCCAGCTCTACAGACACAGCTAACAGACAAGCAAACATGCTAAAGCCTTCCCACAGGGAAGCCGTGAACAATAAAGATGTAATAGATTAAATCTGTCTTTTGTAGGGAATTTAATGACTACAGCTGTTCAGCATCATTAACCACTTTGTCTTGGCTTAACCCTCCCCCCCCCCTCCCCAGCACTGCTGCTGAGCAAACAGCCAGGTACCAACAGAGCTGCTGTGGGGGGAAGTAAGGCTGTGCTTCCCACCTAGAAGCAGCTCTGGGGTGATAAGGAGTCATTAAAAGCTTTTAGGACCCGTTGCTATACAGCACGGCAATGAGGGAGGGGTGCCAGGGATGGGCAGGGCTCTCTGCCAGAGCTGCATATGGAAACAGCTCCTCCTGCCCAGGGCTGGTGTGCCCAGTGCTCTCATTGACATGCCTCTATCTCCTGATTCCAAGAGGAGGGAGAAAAGAATAAATAAAAATCAAGATTGCAAGACGTTAACTGATGTAGAAAGAAGCAAGGCTTGGTGAAGGTGAAGAGCTCACAACAGCAAAAAGAGCTGAACAGGAACAGCAGCTCTTCTCCCATTTGGACTCTGCTGGACGTTGAGCCCCAGCAAGACCAACGTGTTTCTAGCACACTTGGCACTGTCCCTGGTCATCCTGCTCTTTACAACACAAGAATTTCATGCCCCACTTCTCTTCCCCCCCTACACACACTCCCATTTCAAAATGCACACCAGCACAAAGCATCAGCCACCAGGAAAGAGCAGGCTTCATGATGCAACTGTTTGTCTGTTCTGTTGAGAAACACCAGCATCAGGCAGCTGATCAAACACACAGCCCCAGCAGCACTATGCAACCAAAGCAAACCAGTGCTGGAGACTTCAGGTTGCACAGAGCAGACACAAAAGGCACAGACCTGCTGCTGACAGTCCCCCAAAGCTGCACAGCAGGGCCAGCACCCTCAGCTCTGCACAGTGCTGCTGCTGAGAGGTTCTGAGCAAAGGCACACAGCCCCAGAGCAAAGCACCATTTCTAGGAGCACCAAGAGGAGGCAGGGAGAGATCTGGTGCATCTGCCTGTGTCTGTTAGGGGAGGCTTGAAATGCAAAGGTGTGGGGAGCACTGACACAGCCACAACCACCAGCCATGCCACTCCTCAAAAGGGAACATCTCATGCTCCTCATCACAAATAATCCTACTTGCACAAAAATAATTGATTTTTTTTTTTTAATCCGTTTGGAGGGTTTTGATAACATCCTTACAGATGAAGCCGTTTGTAGGTTTTCAGCCGTCGAAGTCCAACAGAGCTTCTGATTTATTTATTTTTTTAATAATACTCTTAGACAGTAGGGTGGTTCATTCAATTCTGAGATGCTCAGAGGGCTGGCAGCTCTGCAAATTAAACCTCTGGGCTGAAACAGAAGGTCACACCTGAGCTGTTTGTGAAGTGTTGCCAGTAAAAAGAACAAAAGCAGAAGCGTGGAAAATAAGGAAGCAAAAAGGAAAGAGCACAGACAGCCTAAAGCTGCATTCAGCTCAGGCAGAGCTACAGAGTCTTGGGGAAAAGAGAGTTTCATTAGATCTGTGATAGAAAACAGTCTATATCTGGCTTCTGTCACAGCAGAATGCAAAGGAAGCACAGAGGATGCACAAAGTACATGAGTTTTCGTGGCTTGGGACTACCAGCAGACCTGCAGCATTACTCCACTGCTGTCCAAGCACAGCTCCTGCACCCACCCCACAGCCTGCTGTGAGCAATGCCCCGCTCAGCTCCATGAACCCCACACTGCAGGAAACAGGAATGTTACACTGAGGATAGGAACACGTTTCTATCCCAAACAGCAGCCCAGAGCACACTGGCACCAGCTGTGGCTGCAGCACTGGGTCAGCCCCATGGCGTGCAGCAGGCAGAACCTTGGGAGTGCACTTACCAGCACCGGGATGAGCAGGTCAGCAAAGAAAACAAAAGCTGCTCCCAGAGCAAAGCCCACGGCCACGGGGACGAAAGCGAAGGCTCCAAAGCTGCCAGAGTGCTCAGCCATCTCAATAGCCGGGGCCAGGAGGGACCAGTAGGAGGCAGCCAGCATGACCTAGGAGACAGAAGGTGAGTGGTGAGAGCATGGGGACCACGCTGCTCTGCTCCTATAGGCTGAGAGCCAAAGTCCCCATGGGCATTGATGTGCACGGCTACACAAGCAGCGTGGCCACTGTAACCCAGCCCCACCACCATACCCAGCTCCCAGCCCAAATGCATCACTCAAGGATGGAGAAGGAAGGATTTTCCACCAGTTTGAACCAAAAGTGTTTTTCTTGGCTCAAGCCTAAAGCAGTGAGCGAAGCACATGAGATGGTTAGGGGAATTTTCTGGGGAATTCAGCAGTCCTTCAGATGGAGCAACTGCAGAGCAGGAAAACCTCCCTTATCCCTGGGGAGCACCCAGGCACTGCCCGCTCTGGGCACAGATCCCAGCAGAGCTCTGTGCATTGCTTAGTGCTGGGCTTAGTGCCCAGCAACACCTGGGAAGGAGAAGGAACTATCCCAGAAAAACAAAATTTGGGACCTGTGGGGTTTTTCCAATCAAGCCCAGAGCAGGGCAGGTTCTGATGCAGCTGGTTGCTCTGGATGTTTCCCAGATTAGAGAACAGAAAGCTAAGCAAGGCACTGCTTCCACCAGCTTATACTAAAGAACCTATCACCAATGTGTATTTTATCCCCTTATCTCTTCCTCTGCTTTGCTGCGTGACGCACTGGGCTGGGTTAATTGGAAATCACCAGCCCAGCCCCAGCAACAATGCTGCAGCTCACCTGGGACCAGCTCTGGGGAATGACCCCATTGGGCTCAATGATTATTTAGTCTCCATCCAAAAGCCAGGCTTAATACAGGGGGGAGGGAAGAGATGTGAAGCAGAGGTAGCAAAGATAGCAGCTGAATACCCACTGTTCCCACAGCACAGATGGGTCTGTGACACTGGGATGAGGACAGAGACCATGGGGGAGCAATCTTTTCAGGGTCTCCATCCCCACCAGTGGGGATGCTGCTCTCCACCCCACAGACCCCACAGGGTGCATGGGATGCTCTGCCAGCTGCAAGATGCTCAGAGGAGGGCCTGCCCAGCTCGCTCTTGCTGTATGAGTATCCTCCTGCAGAACAGAGATGTGTAATGAACTACCCCACTTTAAATCATTTTTATAGAAGGAGTGAAATGCCTATTGCTGTAGATACCAGTCCCCGAGGGATTGTGTAAATCTCAGCTCTCTATGAGTAAGAAGAAAGCAGGCTGTCATGTCAGACTTAACCACAGCTGTCAAACTTCATATTTCAAATGCCACCTCCTTTAAAAAAACAACAACACACCCCAACACGGAAACACTGGGAAAGGCTTTGCAGAATTATATTGTCACCTTATGTTAAGATATCATTCCCCACGTGAAGCAGAGGGCTGACACAGCTCAGCCTCCAGATCCCATTACCACTGAAGTCAGCATCAGAGCTCCCCCAGCCTTGCTACATGCAGCCCCCATAGGAGCAAGGCACAGCTTCAGGCTGCCCAAACCTCACCAGCTCAAGCAGCAGTGCTGGGCTGCACTGAGAGGTTGGGTTTGCTCAGGAAGGAGAAGGGATTCATTTCTGTGCCCAGGTTGTCAGCATGACAGTGAACCTCTACAGCCACCCTGGAAAGAATGGCAATGGTAGTTCAGTTGTGGGACATTCAGATGACCTCCCATCCTACTCCCAGGGTCACCAAGCCTCTTCACAGAATCACACAGTGGTTATGGCCACACAGAGCCCAGGATCCCCCCCATGGAGACAGGATACAAACACCACAGCATCACAGGACAAGAGGTGTCCAAAGCAAGAACAAGGGAGTTTGATCTCCCCTTCCAGCATGCACCATGCATTCAAGAGAGAGCCCTGCCTGCATCCTGCTCAGACCAACAGAGCACGAAGCCATTCCCACAGAGGACAAGTTCTGCACAAAGCCTTCCCACTGCATTTGCTGGCAGTGCATAGCGGTCTGCTCAGCTCCACCAGAGCAGGAGCCCAGCACTAGGCTGGCACAGGCACACACTGCTCCTGCCAAACCCTCAGCAGAGCCTTCATGCTCTGGAGCTGAGCTGCAACAACACCATAAATCCACCAGCTTTGGGAAAACAAAGGGAGGATGGGGAGGAGGAGGCCCAGCAGAAGGCAGTTGTGCACCCAAAGCACCCCCAAGCTGCAGGGAGCCCAGCTTTTCCTTACAGCAGTCAGCACATCTAGACACAGCAGGTCTTCTCAGCCAGGAGCATGGAACACATGTGCAGGGTGGGTTTGGTTTCATTCCCTTGCTTTGTACCTCCATAGCAGCAGTGCAAGACTTTTCCACAGCTGAGATTGAGCTCACACAAGATTAAGCTCTGAAAAGCAGGGGGCTCCCGTGGGCTCAGAACCTGATTGCCTTGCTCCAGGACAGCCTGGCACCATGGAAAATGAGTGAAGCCAGACCTGTTTCCTCCTACTGATGGGAAATAGCCCAAAACGTGCCAGTCCACAACCACAACAACACTGCCCAGGTACCCACCAGTACCAGCATCTCCATCCAGGGGAGGACTCAGCACCCAAAGCTCCCCAGAACACTGCAGCCCCAGCTCTGCACTTCTCTTCCCCACCCCAAGCAGGGTGGCACAGTGCCACAGCTGGGCACAGCCACCTGAAACCACACTCGTGTCAAAACTAAAGCCTTCTCCATGCACAATGCATTCTCTGCAGGACCCTTCTTGGCATCGTGCTTCTGTAGTGGGAGCACAGCTTCAGAGGAAGCAGCCCCATGAATGGCACACGGATGGGAGGACCCGAAGGGAGATTCCCCCCAACAAAACAGGAAAGAGAACTGGAAGGCAAGAGATTGGCAGGACGCTTCCCCAGTGGACTTCTGTGCCTGACTTCATTAAGGCTCCAGCAACAAGAACCAGCCTCAGCAGACCTGTGTAAATTACCCATGCTGTTTTAAGCAGCACTGAAAGGGAATATTCATTGCCAGACTCATCTGGTACAGCGTAAAGAGCATGTCTTCATGATTTTTCTGCTTCACCTGGGACAAAAGAAATCAAACTGCAGTCCAATAAAAGGAACAGCCACGCAGGGAATGAGGACTGCAAGTGCTCATATAGGCATCAGCCCCTTGATGTTCAGATAGCACAGCACCTCCAGGACAACGCTGAGATAACAGGGAGCATTTCAGAAAAAAAGGTCTTATTGAAGAATATCAGATTTAAGAGAAAAACCAGAATTCCACATCAGCTGCCCCAGTAAGCAAAGCCTGGTCTCCATGGAAACTCACCGCCTCTGCGTGCCCAACCCGCTGTTATCCATGGTTTGCACAGAGGGAACTGAGGCAGACAAACAGCCAGGTGCTCAGCAGGCAATGGGGTGGAAGCAGCCAAGCATCCCCTTCCCTGCACCTCCACAGGTGCCATCCAGCACAGGCAGCCACACCAAAGGGGTGAAACAAATACGCTTCACTTTGTGGCTGTGCCCCAGCTCGGGGCATCACAGTAATGTGAGCACAGGCTCCAGCTTGCACCCGCTCCCCCAGAGCAAAGGTGGACCTGCAGGGTGAACTGTGGCTCTCCAGGTCCCCAACCACACTGGATCATCCACCTCGAGTCACTCGAGCGTCCCCATCCCTGACCTCCCAGCTCAGTCAGAGGTGGCAGAGAAGTCTTGAGCTCATTCTCAATATTTCACAACGCAGGCTCCCAAGACACAAGCAGGGAAATTGTTACCGGCAGGATAGAATTACTGCTGTGACCCATCTCACAAGCAAACCTGGCCCAGGAGAGCATGGCACATTCCCCAGCAGCCCTATCTGTGGCTCCAGGGACACAGAGCTGAGCACCAAAGCGGTGCAGTTAGAAGCTGTGCAGCACTCGGGGCGAGGAGGTTTGCTGGCTCCAGCAGAGCACAGGGGAATGCAGAGAAACCCAACAGCCCAGATTTCAGAGCTCGCACCACAGATAAAGAGAAATTCAGTTCTGTCTCTATTCCAGCACTCGGAGACATAGCCTGTATATATTGGCAAGAGATTTACATCAAAGAGACGGCGTTTAGCAGAAATTCCTTACAACAGGAGAAGTAGTCCCTGATCACTGTCTGAAGAAAAAATTTTTTTCAGGGCAGAAGAGAGAGAGAACGGCACAAACAGCTTTCAGAACAGGCTGCTCACATCCTGCTCTTCCTCCCCACAGTCAGAGCACACAGAGCACCCACAGACTGCCTGCTGTCTTCTGCTGGAAGGGCACCAGCGTGGCCAGGAAGGGGCTTGCAGCACTGCTCAGCTGCAAGGAGCAAAGCCTGGCTGGAACTCGGATGGGTTCTGTTACTTGGGGTAACCCCCCACTGGTACAGGGGCAGTTTAAAGATGTGGGGTTAAGTGCAACCTTTGGAGAGAGGCACTTTGGTCCCTTAGCAGGCAAAAAGGCAGAGTGCTACGGGCACATCTGGAACAAATCTAGCAGAAAGGACAAAGTTCCAAGCTCCAGTGCTTCTGCCACGTCAGTGCTGCCCAAGCACTCAGCCCCAGGGTGCAGAGCTGCTCCCAGAAGGTGCAGTGGTACCATCACCTCCTCCCCAGAGGCTGCTGGCATCAGAGCAGGGCTGCACAGCTCGTGCTTGGCATGAGCAGCTCACCAGAACCAGCACAACCCATAAACAGCCACGAGTCATCCTGATGGTGTTCCCTCCAGACACTGCAGTGATCTCAGGAAGGCTTCCCTTCCCTACTCCCAGCACAGCAAATGCAAGAAAGCCATGGAAAAGCCAGTGTTTGTAGGACATCTGCTCTGCGGCCGAGCCACACCTCTGCCACGCAGGGATGACTCAGTGACAGCACTGGAGCTAACGCAGCAGCTGTCAGAAGGCAGCAGCACCCATAGCACATCCTGGTACCTCCTCTGATGGGGACAGAAGTGCCACAGCTGAACGGGATGGAGACAGTACAAAGCACCTGGCAGCATCTCCCTGACTTGCAGATGAGCTGCTCGTAGGAACAAGGTTGTCTCTGGCAGAAAGGCAGCTCAGAAATCAAGCGCTGGAGTCAAGCTCCAAAACAGGCAATTCCTAAAACAAGTGATTAATTTATAAAAGATGACCCAAGAATTTGTTGCAACAGACTATCTGAACTATTCACATCGCTAGCAGGTTCCAGAAAAACTTGCTAGGAAGCAAACCAAGTTCTGCAGAGCTTCACCTTACCTGCCTGGGCACTGATGCAGCCCCTCCTGACCCCAGCACAGCTGGGTTTGACTCAAGCATTTGGAACAGAGGAAGACTTGTGATCTCCAGGGCTGTAAACAAACTTCACCTTGATCAATAGGGCTGCAGTGGTTGGGAATACACACATAACAAGGAGCCCTGCTTGACACACAGCATCAGTGCTAGCAGTTACATGCTGCACAACAGACAGGCTCCTGCTTCATCCTGAAATCTGGCAGCATCTTCCATGCTCCAGATGCCAGAGACAGAGCCAGGACACAGTGAGAGGGCTCTGGCTGAGCCCTTTGCTGTGTGTCCAGGGGCACTAGGAATGCACAGAGGGAAGCAGCACTGGACTGGGCAGCAAGGAGCTGCATCCAACCTCTGCTAACACAGCAATGGATCCGACAGCACGTGGGAAGTCCAGACACCCACAGCCAAACCACTCCTGAAATCCTTCTTTACAGCCAGCTCCCACAGCACATCCCAACACACAAGGCAGTGATGCCAAGAGCATTCCTCAGGGCTTCCTACCAGGGTTGATGGGCCTTCCTAAAGCCTTCAGGAGCTGACAGGTTGGTGTCTGGTATTGCAGCAGGTCGCCAAGACACACCAGCACTGCAGGGAAAAGCAGCGCCGTCCACCAAGCACCGGCAGCCAAAGAACATCTACAGTTCTCAGACATAGAAAACAAATGTGATTTATTGAGTCTGAATGAGCCTCCACTTGCTCATAAACACCCCAGAGTCTGGGCAGTGGGAGACATTCTACATTCGCAAGCCCCAGCACAACCTCAAACCACAATTGATGCCACAGTTTTACCTCTTCCTTCAAGACCTAGTGAGCACTACATTTACTGCATGCCCTTGATTTAGGCTTCACTGCCTTTATTCTCCAGGATTTTAAGCACCCTATCTCAGCAGGACAGCAAGAAGCGAGCTATGCACACTAGCCTGCTGGACAAGAGCTCTCCAGTCCATCTGAACTGCTCCAGGACAAGGAATTCAGGAGCCCAAAGAGGTGAGAAGAGCATAACCCCAAAGCTGGCACCCCCGTGCCCCCAGCCAGCACTGCACCATGCCCCTCTGCTGCCACAGCAGAGCAGCAGGTAAGCACCAGGGGATGCTAACAGCAGCAAGCAACCAAGTGATGTACAGAGAAGCAGCAGGGATGTCAGCATGAGAAAGCACATGGAGGCAGTGAGCAGGAGGAGGATGCAGCACTTACCCCTGCAGCAAAGCCCAGGCTCCCATCCAGGATCCGCCTCTGAAACAACAAAATGAACACAAAGCACAGCATTTACTAAGGGCACAACAGGCAGGGTGCAGCCACACCACAGAGACACATGGAGAGGAGGCAGCTGTGTTGGTGTCACACTAAGGTGACTTTCTTCTTCCCATTTTTGCAACCCAAGCAATTGCCTTGCTGTCATACAGCGTGCAGTGCTTCAATATCCAGCACTGCAGTCACCCTCCTGGAGCAGAGGTGTCTCCTCCAGTGTCACCCAGAGCCTGAGTGCTGTCCTGGCTACAACTTCACGTGCCAACTCACCAATGCTGCCCTATGATCACCCCAAGGATGTAGGGGGCAAACTAGAAGCCACGTGTACACCACTGCCATTCATCTCCCCTCCCTTGAAGGTTTTTGCTCCTCTAACAACGTGCTGCTACAAACAAAGCCATTAGTCTGTAGCCCAGCACGTACCCTGCCTGCTTCACCCACAGCAGTTTTTCTCCTTTAGCAGATCACCCTCCCCCAAGAAGACAAGCAGCATACTGCTGCAAAAGGAATCTCACTTTGCAGCGCACTCCTGAATAAATCATCACAAGAGAGAGACATAAATAATAAATCCATCACAGCAATTCTGAACACAACAGCAGGGGGGTGAGGGGGGGCCTCCAATTTCGGAATATGAAATAATTTAAAGATTAGAGCTCTGCTTGTTCTGAGCATTACACAGCAGAGGAGAAAAAGCCCACTGCTCTGCCCCACACACCACAGCCCAGGGTTGGGAATTTCATTTCCTCCTTTGTTGTGCTGGCACACAGGAGAGGAACAAGTTGGATTCTTTCCCTGCCAGCCCAAGGACCACTCAAGGCCAAAATAAAGTCCCTTCTGCTCAGGTTCCAACAGCCAAAGCTGCCTGTGAGCTGAGTGCAGCCCCTGCCCAGTACTCACCTGCCCGCTGGAGAAGATGAACACCAATGCTGAGCCAGCAGCTGTCAGCCCCCAGGTGAGGAGGGTCCCCAGCACCGCCTGCAGCACCGGGCCCTGCCCTGGGATCATGCTGAGTGCTCAGGGAACGGCAGCCTAGGAGAGACAAGGAGCATCAGGAGAAGCCTGCAGTGTAAAGATGTGGGACAAACCACGTGTCGTTGCCTGGCTGATGGGGGAGCTCAGCCCCTCACTCAGGGGACAGAGCTCACTGAGCTGTGTACCCTCTCTCTCTGTGTTTCTTGCTTCTTGTTGCAATTTAACCCAATCATAGAGGAGAGATTACAGGCAGGTCCAACCCCACACGCAGCCAATGTTGGGCTCAGACCCATGGGCTACACTGCGAGCAGAAGCCCTATCCAGGCAGGGAATGGCATCCTCCACCCACTGGAGCATCTCCCAAGTCTGGAGGGTGTTTTGCTTGGAGCAAGCACGAGTCCAGCTCCCACGCGAGCTCTTCCAGCATGACCTCACGTGCACACTGAAGAGCAGGAAGAACACAGGGATCAATCTAACACCTCACTGAGCACAGCTTGGCCCACATCTCCTGGCAGCTCCCAGGCACGTGCCTCACACCCCACTTCTTTGTGCCAAAAACCCATTCAACAGGCACAAAAGACAGATGTCTTTATGGCACAGCAAAGACAGCAGAAGGGGAATTATCCCTGGAATGGGCACCACAACATGGCTCAAAACCACAGCTAGTGGCTACAGGCAGCCAGGAGGGTATTACTGCACACCTGGGAGCAGCACTTCTTTGTAACAGACAGGCTTGCTAAGAATGCATGCATATAGGGATAAATATACCTTTCCACACACATACCTTTGCCTCTTTTTCCCCTCCCGGGGGACTCAGAGTGCCCTCCCAGCCCCCAGCAGGGGCCAGCCTTGCCCCAGGAGCACCAACAGCAGGGTCAGCTACCTGGCCCCAAGCAGAGGGATATCCCCAACCTCCCTTACTGCGTCCCCAGCGCCTGCGGAGCCCCACAGCCCCCACACCGTCCCCCTCCACACCGCACGGACCCGCTGCCAGCCCTCCGCACTCCAGGCCCACAGCCGCCAGCCCAGGCCGGAGGTCTGAAACCCCCAGACCCAAAGCCCGGAGCCCGCAGCCTCTCACGCCCAGGTCCCAACCCCACGGATTTCTCACAATCCTAAACCTCTTCGGCACCTCCAGGCCCCTTCCCCGCGCAGCCCGACCCGCTCAGCCCGGCCCCACTCACACCGTCCGGCCCCGAACCCCGGCTGCGGCCCCGCGCCACTTCCTGGTGCCGGCACACGTGTCGCCGTCGACGCTCCGCCCACTCCGAGCTCTCCGCCAATGGGAGCGCGGCGGGGGCGGGCCGTCAGCGGCGGTGCGGACGGGCGCGGCAAGGCGGGGGTGGAGCGGCGCGGGCGGGCGTGGGAGATCACCGAGGTGACAGAGGGAGAAGCCAGAATTAACCCGATTCCTGGGGGAAAAAATAAAAAGGCTGAACAACCAGGGGCTGTTCCACTAGGAGCATCCGAGGCCGGAGCTGTCTGCATCTCCTCGTAAGCCCGAACCGAATGCCACCCACGTGCTGTGTCCCCACGTCACGCAGGGCTCCCGCTCCCTGCATCGGGGTGTCCCCAGGCTGTGTCCCCTCCCCTCAAACCGAGGGAGGAGCACCTGAGCAAGACCCTGCACTCAGCACGGTGTGCAGCTCCCATCCGTCCCGCTGTTATCGACCTGTTCGCTAATTAACGTCCTGCTCACTGACGGGGGCTGCACCCCAGAGACCAGCACACCTCCCCCTGCTGCAATACACCCCAGCAAGCACCTCCCCATACACCGCCATCCATCCCCCCATCCCCATCTCAGGGCTGGAGCAGCCTCAGGAGCATCCCTCCCTTGGAACAATTAAGCCCTGGCAGCCCAGGGATTGGGATTTACACCAAAAGCAGAGGAACCCCAGCCTCTGTGCTCAGCACATCCCGGTGCCAGCAATGCGTGCTGCACCATAGGTAGCAGCAGGATGCACTGAGTTCTGCACCACCACCCTTCTTCATTAGTGCTTATCTTTTAACAGTTTTTGATCAGCCTCCCCTGCTGCAGCTGGGGAAGGTTGAGGCCATTTGAAACCTCTCTGATTTAGGATTTAATCAATTTCCCCCATAATTGCCTGCATCCTTCATTAGCTGCCGTAACAAGGCAGATGTAGCATGAGGTGCCAGCTGGGAGGGATGCGAGGACTAAGCACACAAAGCTCCCGCCCACAGCCCCAGGTTCCCAGCAAGCCATGATGAGGCCTCATGGGGTGGGGACAGCTGGCAGGGCCAAGGGACAACACTGGGGCTATCCCTGTGTGGGGACAAGCAGGGAGACCCAGGTAATGGGAACAGTCAGACTCTGCAGAAGCACCAATAAAATCAGCTCACACCTTCCTTTCCCAGTGACGTGCACAGACCACCATGTCTCCTTCCCCAAAATAATGGGGCTGACCCCACCTGACATCCATCTATGCCTGTTTCCTGCAGCCCGGTGCTGGTAAGGGATGGGGACATCATTGCTCCCCACTGTGACAGTGCAGGCGGTGTGTAGGCAGAGCTGGCAAGGGATGAGACCCAGAGACCCTAAAATTTGAAACAACAGGAGGGGCAGCAAGTTCTGTGCAGTGTCTCTCAATAAGAGGCAGCAGGATGCACTGGAACCAGCACTGAAACCCCTTCACTTTGTTCAGATAAAGCTCCCGGTGGGGATCAGTGTGGCAGCAGCACAGCGATGGCCCAGGCACCCACACCTGGGGTGTATCTGCAGAGCCCTCAATGTCCCTGTTGTTACCCCTGTGCTACTGCCCTGCCAGTGGCGTGTCCTCGTGGCCTGGCTGCTGCACAGCACACATCCATCAGTGTCTGCAGCAGTGCATGCAGCCAGTCTGGATCCACTGGTAAGCCAAAGGAATGAGAGCTTCCTGAGAGCTCCATCCCTCTCCCCTGGGGATGGGGCACAGCGCGCTGCCCCCCAAGCAGGACCAGACAGGGGCACAGCATCTCCATTGCATGAGCCAGAGCTGATGACACCCATCCATCACAGAGCACCAAGTGACAGCTTTATGCCTCCCTGCCAGCTTTAGGATCACTGTGAGAGACATAAAGGACACGGTACAAATCTGAGGGAGTACAGCCAGAGAGTGCAGGTGTCCTGCTGGGACAGCGGGGTCACGCAGCACACGGTGTCGCTGACCCCAACAATCGGAGTGGCTGCATGAATTTCTATTGCCAAATGCATTGTTAAATTTAATGCATGCAGCCCTGCAGAGCACAGAGTGCAGCAGGGAGAGACGCAGGCGGGAGCTGGGATTGCAGCCCGTGGCTGCCAGAGGCTCATTAGCATCGGGAGTTATCGTTATGATTCACGGCCCATGCGAGCAGCATCTTTCAGTGCAGCCCAGTCCTACTCTCGGTTGAGATCAATAAACTCATTATGAAGGCAAATAATGGCAGTGGGAGAATGAGAGAGGCGGGAGGCGAGGAGCCGGCTGCAGGAAGGGCTGCAGGAGTGGGAGGCAGCAGGAGGAGGAGGAGGACAGCCTCATGCAGGGGCTGCAGAGGGACCCGCACGCCACCAGACCCACTGATCCCTCTGCAGACCCCACCTGTCCCATTGCTACATCCAGCAGGAGCACGGTCAGGCTTCAAGAGCATCATATTGATCATTAAGGTTGGAAAAGACCTCTAAGATTGTCAAGTCCAACCAGCAACCCATCCCCAGCGCCCACTAACCACGTCCCTAAGACATTATGAACAAGGATAATGGGAGCCACGGGCAGATGGGCTGAGCAGGAGCACACCAACCCCCCTGCCTTCCTGCACAGCACCCAGGCGAGCCCCCTGCCCTCCTTCCTGACTGGGGAGGAAGGTCAGGTCACCCTCTCCCTCCATTGGCAACCACAGTCCCAGCACTTTGTAACACTCATTTCCAGGACAGGGGTCACAAACGCTGTTTTTTTTTCCATGACCCTCAAAGAACAGCTGGGAATGGATGGCAAGAGACTCAGAGGGACTTTGAAAGCTGCTTTGTGGTCACGTAATCCCCCTGCCCCTCTCCCATGGGTTGTATGGAAGTCAGAGCTGTGTGGAAAGGGGCCATGTATTTCTCCCAAATCCACGCCTGCCAGTAAATGGCTTTTCAGCAGAGTGGATACTTGGCAAGCTAAAAGACAAAGAGGAGTTTATCTGCCAGCACCAAACCAGCTGCTGGGGTAAGGCAGCGTCTCACCAAACCAGGGACCACCCAGAGGAACAGATCTCTACATGAGGCCAAAATTCAATGCTAAATCTAATCAAACTGGAAAAAAAAAAAAAAAAGAACCTTCAAAAGGCTCAAGCACAGCCCTCTGCCTCGGCCAGCTGACCCCTCACCATTCAGCCATCAGCTCAGATCAGCCCTCCTTCACTGCCCCTTCGCTTCATTCGTTTCTTTTCTCTTTTTTTTTTTTTTCAATGATCAGATCTGGTTTCAGCCATGTGAGCTCAGTGGCTGAGTTCACACAGAGTGGGGCAGGGGGGGCCGAGCTGTGGGGCCAGAGGTGACTGCGCTTTGCTCAAATGGGGAGGAAGGAGGATGGTGATGGGATGATGCTCAGCATCAGGTTGGGACAGCACAAGGCGGAGGGGATGGGGACAGCCCTCCTGGAGCCTCTGCACAGCAACCCAAATATGGGACCTGGAGGTGGAAGGTGGAGAGAGATGGTGGGAAAAGTCCTCAGTGCTCTGGGGGGAACCAAGGCTGCATGCTGATTGCAGGGTGATGGGGCCAGGGCACATAGAGACTGCAGGGACACGAGGGACAGACATGGCAACATCACCTGCACAGGGGGGAAATTCAAGGAGGCAGCACTGCAAAACACACAGCCAGGCTCTGTGCTGTCTGTCCTGCTGGCAGGGATGACTGCTGACGTGCCTTTGAGGATATGGTCTATGGAAACCCCATGGTTTCCTGGGGAAAGGCACAGCCAGGACAGCCCTCCTGGGCACACAGAGCAGCTGAGGGAAAACAAAACAACTGTGAAAAGGTCATAAGGCATCGAGCCCTTCTCCAGTGCCACACCAGAGTGATGCACTCCCTCTTCCTGCCTGCCAGGCAACATCTCTGCCCTGCTCCTCCTCTGCCAGCCGTGCCAGTGAGGAGCTGCCCTTGGTGACACACGCAGTGGGACCCAAACCCCAATGGGCAGCACCCATTGCACCTGCCAAGCTCTCATCCTCCACATCCTCTCTCCTTTCCCGCTTTTACTGGGATATTAATATCCACATCATTTATTCTAGGGGCAGATTTTTCCATCCTCCAAAAAGATTTATGAGGCTGATAATGGTTCTTGTTCTTCCTCCAAGACCCCGTGTCTTTGGATCCACCTCTGTAAGTGAATGGCTAAGTGCAAATGAGAACCTCCCAGCCCCTCTTGCTGCAATCAGCAGCCTCGCTCCTGGCTCTTTGTTCCAAGTCACTCTTAATTTCCTGCTTTCTGTTGTCTCTTTGATAACTGGTGGAAAGATAGGGGGGAGGAATAGTTACTATTTAATTGCATTCAAGATCTCAAACAAACCAGAGCAGAGGTTATCTCACCCAAAGCTCTCTGGTTTTGGTCTTCCTCCTCCAGTCACCGTTACTGGGTAACTGCAGCAGGACAGGCTGTGGCAGCTGCCACCTGTATTGCACGAATCCCAGCTTTCATGCAGACATCTCAAAGCTGTGGATGGCCATCACACCACCTTTCCACCACTCCCAGGCAGTGCCAACCCAGCACAGACCTGCCTTGCCTTGCCTTTGGTCACAGGATGCAAAATCCTTGGGTAAAGATAGTCCCAGCATCCCAAGAAAGAATGGGAATTCCACACACCACTTAGTGCAGTGCAAGCCCCAGGGAGGTCATGGTGCGGCTATCACCGTGCCCTGCCCCCCCCACCCTGTACACCTTGGATGCACCAGGAGAAACCAAGCATTCTGCACTATCGTTGGAGCCAAGCATGAAGAATCTTCTGCTGGAAGCCCTACGGAGATGGGGAAGTCCCCCACGCCCTGGGGTGCTGCAGGGTCCCCGATCCCACGCTGCTCGCTGCACAGCAGCTCCAGCACACACCTCCACATCCCTCATCCGAGCCTCTGAAAGAGCCGGGCGGGCACTGCAGGGCAGCGTCGGGAGAGCAGTGCGGGCACGGTGGGCAGCACATGCGGGGCATCGCGGGCAGGGCATCACCGAACAGGTTGGACAGGACCGAGCTGGACCGAGCGGCACCGAACAGCAGCACGGGCAGGGCTGTCCCCGCCCCGGCCCCGCAGAGCCGCCCCAAGCGGGGCGGAGCGCAGCCGGTGCGTTGGGTCCGGCGGCGGAGCGGGCAGCGCGGAGCTGATCGGAACGGAGCGGTGCGGAACGGAGGGCGCTGCCGGCGCCTCCCCGGTGCCCGCCGGGCCGGGCCGGGCAAGGGCACGGCGGTGGGAGCAGGTGAGAGGAGCGGGGCCGGCACCGCCCGCCTGTCCCTACCCGACCCGGGGGCTGCAGCCGCGGGGAGCCGGCGGGAGCGGAGCTCGGCTGGAGCGGGGAGGGCGCGGAGGAGCGCGGGGTTCGGGCACGGCTACCGGCTACCCCGCATCTTCCACTGTAGAGGCAGCCCCTCGGGGTTTCCCTTTCCCAAGCTGGGCGCTGGCTCCTCGCCGGCTGCGTGCTGGGTGGGGAGGTTTTCCCCCGCTGTCACTGCTCCGAGTGTCGGTCGCACCCAGAGGGGATTTATTCATCGGTCTCGGTTCGGGGGGTCGTGGGGGCTCCGGAGGCAGGAGGCGCCGTGATGTGTCCAGAGCAGACTCCTCCGTGCTCCCCGTGCAGGGAGGAAAGAGGTGGCGGAGGTGGGCTGGGGAAAGCCCTCCAGGGAGCATCTCTCTACAGAGCTTGGCTGCAGGATGGGCAAATCCTCCCCAGGAATCCCTTCATTTCTATTTTTCTCCAATTTCTAGAATTTTCTCCTTCATCCCCAAAGCAAGGGGAGATGACATCTTGTCTTCTCTGAGCCACCTGTGCCCCACAACCAGCAGAGCCATGGATCTGGAATACGAGCTGCCCAACGCCACCACCTTCTGGTTCTCTCCAGCTTCCCCATTCGACAACTTCTCTGTAGAGGCCCCCACCAATGCATCACAGAATGCCACTGGCCAGCACTTCGACCTAACCAGCAACGCCATCCTCACCTTCATCTACTTTGTGGTCTGCATCATAGGGCTGTGTGGCAACACACTGGTGATTTACGTCATCCTTCGTTATGCCAAGATGAAAACCATCACCAACATCTACATCCTGAACCTGGCCATTGCTGATGAGCTGTTCATGCTGGGGCTGCCCTTCCTGGCCATGCAGGTTGCGTTGGTACACTGGCCCTTTGGCAAAGCCATCTGCAGGATTGTCATGACAGTGGATGGGATCAATCAGTTCACCAGCATCTTCTGCTTGACAGTTATGAGCGTTGACCGCTACCTGGCTGTTGTCCATCCCATTAAGTCTGCCAAGTGGAGACGGCCCAGGACAGCCAAAATGATCAACGTGGCCGTTTGGGGTGTCTCCCTGTTGGTGATCATGCCCATCATGATTTATGCTGGGGTGCAGCAGAATCACGGCAGGAGTAGCTGCACCATCATCTGGCCAGGAGAATCAGGTGCGTGGTACACGGGCTTCATCATCTACGCCTTCATCCTTGGCTTCCTGGTGCCTCTCACCATTATCTGCCTTTGCTATTTGTTCATCATTATCAAAGTCAAGTCCTCAGGCATCAGGGTGGGCTCCTCCAAGAGGAAAAAGTCTGAGAAGAAAGTCACCAGGATGGTCTCCATCGTGGTTGCTGTCTTCATCTTCTGCTGGCTCCCTTTCTACATCTTCAACGTCTCCTCTGTCTCTGTCCTGATCGTGCCCACGCCCGTCCTCAAGGGCATGTTCGACTTTGTCGTGGTCCTCAGTTATGCCAACAGCTGTGCCAACCCCATCCTTTATGCCTTCTTGTCTGATAACTTCAAGAAGAGCTTTCAGAACGTCCTCTGCTTGGTGAAGGTCAGCGGCATGGACGATGCGGACCGAAGCGACAGCAAGCAGGACAAATCCAGGCTCAACGAGACCACAGAAACCCAAAGGACCCTGCTCAATGGTGACCTGCAGACAAGCATCTGAGAGGGCAGCGGGGTTGTCCTTCACTCGCTCTCCTCTCCCCACTTGCTCCCAATGGCACTGGTACGTAGGGAGTCGGGCAGGAGTGCCAGAGATGCACACCCCAGTGGGGCGGGTGTCCTAAGCTGGGCTGGTTCCCAAGCTGCTGCTGGGTTGGCTTTCAAGCATTGTGAAGGATATGGTTCAAGAGGAACTGCCTCACCAGGAACACAAAGACTCTGTAGGAATCCCCACGTGGCAGCGCATGTTTAAACACCAAAGTGCCGCTGTGGGCAACAGATATTGCTGGGACAGCTCTGCTGGTTCTCCTGGTATTACCCATGGGGCTGAAATTGGCTTTGGGTGCTCTGCCCCGGAACGGTGCTCACATCGAACTGATGGATGGAGAATGCAGCCTGGCTGGGCTGGGACCTGAGTGCACATGGGGTGGCCTCGGGAGGAACTGAGACCACAGGTGCACACACTGGCTGCACTACTGCAGAGCTGTGCCGACTGGGAGCCGAGACCTGGGAGCTCCCTGCAAGCACAAGCATGCTCCTGCAGTCACGTCCTCCCCAGGGAGACAAGGGGTTACATTCAGCCCGACTGTAAGTTACTCAACCCTTCCCTAAAGCCTCCCTACTGCTGTTTGACTGCTTCCTTTGCAGAGAGCTGTCCTGCATGGAGGAGGCACGGCAGGACAGAGGCAGCCTCCCCGAGGACACAGCCCTCTCCAGCACTTTTGGGTCCCTCCGTGCTTCTGTTCTGCCTCTGCCAGCCCCACAGCCTCCCTGCTGCAGGAGAGCCCCTGCCCTCCTGCCTCCTATGACATCACCTTCCCATAGATTTTCTCTTCAGATGGAGGATTTTCCCCCTTTTTCCTTCTTTTCTTGGATCTGTTCACATCAGCCTCTGGCTGATCTCCCCAGTGAGCCATGGCCGGGCTGGCTGAGCAGTCACTGTACAATCCAGTAGGAAATTCTTGGAAGCATTTACTCAGCAGTAGCATTGGGGTTTGGAGTACAGCTGTGCAGTTGCTGCTCATCCTGCTGCTGACAGCCAGGTGAGATGTGGGCTTGTCCTGTCCCTGTGGTGGCACAGAGAATCACCAGGGCTGGAGCTGCTATGAGCGAACATCGCCTGCTTACCAAGAACACCTCCCTGCTCTTTCCAGGCAAGTCATTAAAAAGGAAGGAGTGATGGAGAATATGGTTGACAGGAATTTGGGGCACAATGGGGCTTGACCCTCATCTGAGCCAAAAGGACTGGGCGGAGCAGAGGACCCTGAGCTGAAGGAGGAACCTCTGAGATGCATGGAGGAACCTCTGAGATGCATGGAGGAGAGTCCCCAGGCTGCCTCTTCTGTGGGATGGCTGCAGCTGCTCATGTCTCCACGCCCTGTTGCTAACAGCAAGGCTGTGACCACTGCAAGCCACCCCTGTCACTGCTGGGGTGCACGTCCTGCAGGTAACTGCAGAGGGGGGACAGCATTTTCCCCAGGGGCTTCCAGCACGAAGCCAAGAGGAAGAGCAGAGAAGAGCAGAGAAGAGCAGAGAAGAGCATCCAAACCCCAGTGCCTCTCCTGTAGCCAACGTGGGTAAGGGGGTCCCTGGGGTGCAGGTCATGCAGTGAGGGGGTGGTGGGTCTGGCCCAGCCACCGTGGGCACAGTAAACCTCAGCCCAGCACGTGCCCTCCCATGGCATAACCCCAGGAGCTGACATGCTCTGCTCAGACACCAAACGCAGCCATTAGAACCCAGTGGCTGCAGTGCCCGCTGCGTTTAGCTGCTCAAGAATGTCTTGCAGCAATCTGCTGTGCCCCAACGAGCCTCAGGGTCAGCACTCAAATCCTGTACCATGGTGTCCCTCTTTGGCAGCACTGTGTGAGCAGGAGGGGAAGCGCAGGGCAGAGCTTGTGCCTATTTTCCTGTGGTTCTGCAGTGATGTCTCCACCTCCCCCCGCTCCCAGCACATCACCCCTGTCCTACTTTGCAACCCCAGCATCCCACCAGTCCCAAAACCCCACAGGAGCTCAGTGCTGGGCTCAGTGCCTGCTCCCTGGCACAGTTCACTCGGACACCAGCATGAGAACACCCCTCTGGGTACGGGGCTTAGGTTACTGGGGCAAAGTAGGGCACTGTCAGCATTTATTTGCTTTTAACCATTTACCTCTGCGGGGGCTCAGCACTGAGCTGCTGGCAGCCACTTGCTGAGCGTGTCCTCACGACAGCTTCATTAAGGGGTGTAAATCCAAGGCGAGAGGCAGTGACGGCAGCGCAGGCTGCCTATTGATGCCGCAGGAATTAAAACAAGAGCAGCTTGTCACATTACTGTGAAATATTGGAGCGTGATTGCCAGCCCGGTGCAGCCCTCTGCCAGGGTAAGGCTTCAGTGTCAGGGCTGCAGCGATGCGTCAGCTGGACTCCGGGTGCTTAATATCTGGTGGGTGGGAGAAGAGTTATTTGTGTGGAAAGAGCCTGGAGCAGGAGAGGTGTCAGGGAGGCAGGGGAGAGGGTAAGAGCCTGATGTTTGCAGCCCCCAGCAGGTGCTGCAGTGCTGCTGGCAGCATTCCGGTCCTGCCACCACCTCCCCACCATGCAGGGGAACATGGGGTGTTCCCATTTCTGGCCGTGGGTAACTCTGTGTGCTGCTTTCAGGCTGGCTCATCACTGCCTAATAAACAGCAGTGCTGTTGCTGCTGTGAGTAACAAAGTTTTCCTTTTCAGCCACTTGATTTTAGCTGGAACTTGACCTCATATTGGATCTGCTCAGAAAAGCCTCGCAGGGCTGCCAGCGGCATAATGAGATATCTCTCCTAGTTCATTTCTGAGCAAATAGGTTGATCTTGCAAGTGCCGGAGCAGCTCTGCTGCCACTTCACATGCAGGCTATTCCCAGGCAAGTAAGATTAATTACAACTCCCGCCTGCCCTGGCTGGAACAGATTTATTCCAGTTTGGAAGTGATGGAAAGCAGAGTGTCCCGTGTCCTGTAGAACCATCCTGTATGCCAGCACCCGTGTGGCGACCCCACACCCATGAGAAACTAATTGTCCTCAATCCCATCACTTGATCCCACACACAGAAGAGGAACATTGCATCCTAGTTCAGAGCCTGGCTCCTGGTGCTGTGGCGGCTGGTTCTGCCCAGCGCTTGGCAGCCAAAGCCTGCTGGGCAGTGAGAAGCTGGGTTCGGCCCTGCAGCCTTCTGATTGCATCTCTATAGCTCCTGATATCAGCACCAAAGCTGCCTTGGACTTCTTTAAAATAACAATTTCCTAACAAACTGCACTGTCCTATCTCTGGAGGGCTTCCCTAAGTCTCTGTCCCTTGTCCTCAATGGAGGATCCAAGGCCTCCCAAGCTCTGAATCCACACCACTGCTGAGGCTTGGTTCCCACATCCCTCCCCTTGTTCCCGTTCTGCAGATAGAAGAGTAGGAGCCAGCATCAGACCATTGCCTGCAGAGCCTTGCTTACACCCAACTGGAGCAGTTCCAAGCAGCATATGGGCCCATGGTCACACCAAGGGGCTAAGAGGGAGCACGCTGGGGACACTAACAGCAGTAGCTCCTCAAAACAGCTCCAGAAAGATGTAAGAGCTGAACCCCCTGGGACTGCAAGATAAGGGCACTGGGGCTCTGCAGTGCCAATGGTGTTTGTGCTGGGAGTACTGGGGTGTATAGCCTGAGAGCTGCAGTTTGTGCTGTGCTCCTGGGGTTGTTTCAGCCCTTGCTATGAACAAGCTGATTTCCAACCTCTCAGGGAGAGCCTGCGTCCTCCTGGTCCCAACCCTGCCAGGGCTGTGCAGAGGGGAGATCATCATCAAGGCACAGGCAAAGAGTGCAGCAGACCTCAAAGTCGACCTTGCCATCACTACATCTGAAAAGCAAACTGCTGCTTTCTGGCCTGAGGACACATGTACCCTTCCCTGTCAGCCTGCAACCCCAGCTGCACACTCCTCGTGTCAGATTTCATCCTGCTGTTTGCTCCAGGACCAGGACAGCAAAACCCAGGAGCATCAAGGACGTGGTTCCAGCTGGGATCAGGGGAGCCTGTCTGGATCTGTGCCCTGACCAGAAGGAGACAAGGGACGCAAAGCCCAAGTACCCCACACTGTACTGCATGGTCAGGAGGGAAGGGGTGGGTGGTTGTACATACGTGTATATAGCAGACATGCCAGCAGAAGGTTTTATTATCCCTGATGCTGTAGAGACACTCTGCACCCCTCTGTTTTGCTGTGCACCCCACAAGCAGCGTGCAGGAGCAGTCAGACCCAGCTCTTTGGGTGCCCTTCAGCATCCATGTGGGGTTGGCTGTGGCGTGCATGAGCCTGGAAGCAACTGCGGTGCTGACAGGCAACAAAAGCACTTGAGCAGGGCAAGGGGAGAAGAGCTTAGGCTGCTGCTAAGTGCTGAGTCCTTCCTAGCCAAGCTTGGGTTCCTCAAGCAGCACTGTGCCACATTGCCATGTTCTGTACATACACCCCTCTGTATCTGTATCTGTGCTCTGTATAGTGTGTGTGGGTCTGATGTAAGACATTGTGACTGGAACATGATGGAGAGCATTTCTGCCTGAAGCCTTTCTCTCTGTAGCAATATGATGTTTCTCGGTGTCGGTGTGGAACTGAGCCTTCCTGCAGCAAAGGCTCCCGGCCGTCTGTGTCACAGGGATGGAAATGTAGATGGGGGTGGGAGGAAAGTAAACAAGTTTTCCTACCATTTCTGACTTTCTGTGCATGTGCCTGAGCTGGGCAAGAGCAGCGTAAGTATAGAAGAGGCTTGGATTCCTCCCAGGAGGAGAAAAGGCACCAAACCCAGAGTGTCACCATGGGCAGTGCACACTTTGTGTCCTCCACAGTCCCACTGTTCCCCCTCCTGTCTCAGCTCAGAGGTTCCCCGTGGGAGAGCCGGCTGCCCCAAAAGCACAACGTTGCTCCAAGACAGCACAGACTCAGAGCACCGGCCACAAAACGAGATGGGTCACAGATGAAGCGTGACCACAAAAAGCTGCAGGCGCGAGGGTTGCAGAAACTCAGCACGAACAACTCCAAGGCAGGAGGTTGTCTTTTCAGGCTGGCAACACCTCTGTGCTGCTTCTGAGGGGATCAGAGCCTGTTAATTGCCACTGCTGGAGATTTAATCGGCTGCAGACGGCACTGGGTAGGGTTGTGCGTGCTTGGAGGTGCATCGGCAGGGAAACGACGAGGTCTGTGCTGCAGATGTTTGGACGTGGGCTCTGCTATAAACTCTGAATGTTGAGCCCCGCAGCCAGCAGTGCCGACCACTGCACGGGGCAGCTTTGCTATCTGTGGTTTCCATGCAAATAAATCCCTTCAGAACACGAAGAACGCCCTATTTGTGTGCCTGCCAGGTCCGAACAGAACCGCGTGCACACACGTGCGGGGTCAGAGGCACTGAGCCCATACACAGCACAGGCAGAATAAGTGCCTTGAGAAGGATCTGCACGCTTTCCTGCTGCCTCCAGGGACTGGAAACAGGAGATAACGTGTGTGCTTTAGGTTGGAGCTACACTTAAAGCGGAAAACACACAAACGAGCACAAATAATCAGAGGGGATTTTCTGTTTCCGATGGCTGCATCGCAGCCGCGCCCCCAAGCAGCCCGAGAGCAGAACGCGCGCAGCGCTCGGCCGAACCAATGGCGCCCCCTAGCGACGCCCGCAGGACCTCGGGGCTGGGTTGAGGCCCGGCTTCGCGGCCTGGCGCTGCGGACAGGACTGGGCCTGACCCGGGAGCCAGGCGGGAGGGGAGACCCGGTATCCAGCACCCAGGAGGGGCCCGGGCCCGGCGCTGAGACCGAAGCAGGCCCGCAGGTAGAGAGTGTTTCCCCCGCATCCTTATTGCCATGGCAACCGGGCGGCACTCTGCCCGGCACAAAGATGGCGGCCCGCCGCCGGAAGTAGCCCTGCCCGATTGCAAGATGGCGGCCCACCGCCGGAAGTAGCCCGGCCCGTCTCCAAGATGGCGGCTGCCACGTCACTGCCGCCCCGCAGCGATGGCGGCCACGGCGGCGCGGGGCGCGGAGGCCGAGGCTCTGTTCGAGGCTCACACAGCGGCGGAGCTACGCGAGGCGGAGCGGCGGTTGCGGGCCGGCATCGAACAGAAGCGGGAGGAGCTGCGGCAGATGGTGGGCGAGCGTTACCGCGACCTGATCGAGGCGGCCGACACCATCGCCGAGATGCGGCTGAGCGCCGAGCGGCTGCTGGGCTCCGTGCGGGGGCTGCAGCGCGGCGGGGTGACGCGGCCCGGCCCCGCTCCGCCGGTGAGCAACGAGCGGGCGGGGGGCTGAGATGAGACGGTGAGATGAGATGGTGAGATGCCCTCCGAGCCCTTCCTTCACGCCGCTTTCTCGCCCGCAGGCCCCGCCGCAGGTGCAGGAGAAGCTGTACCGGGCGGCTGCGCAGCTGAAGCTGCTGCTGGACATCCCCGAGCGGGCGTGGAGCGCCATGGAGGCCGGGCGCTACCTGCCCGCCGCCCGCCTCTACCTGCTGTGCCGCCACCTGCACGGCCTGCTGCAGCTCGACGCGCCCCGCGCCCGCTACAGC